AGTTGAACAGCCGAAGGCTTGATGCCGAGCTTAGGATTAGTTGGATTTGTATGATCATCCTTCTTTTCGTCGGCCATCTTAGTAGATAGATCGCCCCAGCGGAGTCATCAAAAAGTGTGTTGATGCTGATTCGGGTTACACACCGGTAGGAGATAGATCACCCTAGGCCACACATGACCTAGAGATGCAATGGAGGGGTTCTAAATGACGAGGCTGACCAGCAAGTCGATGAGGCCAATTTGACGCTCGTTCTTCGCTCGAAATAACCCTACGGATATCCCCCGAGAAGACTCGTCGGGGAGACACACAGCAGGGATGCCCTAGGATTTGCAAGGCTGCCTAGAACATGAGCAAAATCTCATCGAGAGATGTGCTAAATAGTAAGGGGTTGAAAAAATCTTTAGGTAGAAGATAAAAAACAAAGGTAAATTGATTTTGACGAGTGGATAGATGGATCTATCAATCGAACATAATTCTCTCATATAAATATAGGGGGCAGTCTTATACCAATAAAATTAAAACTCATAACCATTGATTAATCTTGTATACAACATGTGAAATACATACTTTTCTAACCACAACATACAAAAAGCTTAAGCTCATTAATTTTAACTGTTCTCGCGTCAGCTCTAGAAAACAATGTAATGGCAAGCCAGCAATGCATGAACCTTAAAGTTGGATTATGAATATCAATAGCTCTAGGTGCATCACACTTAGTTTGTCCAGTTTTTTTCTTCTAAAACCCGCATTTATTGAAGTTCAGTACCATATTATCTAAGATTAAGACACTCCTTTTTATGAAAACCAAGCATTATTCATAGTTCTTCGCTTGCTAAAGATAGAGAGCAGATCTTGCTCTTCAAAATGCATACAATTTATAGAGAAATTGTTCGAGGGTGAAAAGATAATATAGAGGATGATTTTTATTCATATGACTCTCTAAACTTAGGTTTAGAGATAGAGAGTCTAGAAAAGAAATAGTATTGAAGATGCTGTAAGACCCTCCACAGAGTGGGGTAGTGTCTAGAAAAAAAAATAGTATTGAAGATGCTCCAAGGCCTCCCGGCGTGGGGACACGGCAGCGCGGCGAGGGCCGGCCTAGGCCCTGCGCGGGGGCACAGCAGAGCAGCGACAAAGCAAGGGCAAAGCAGCCCAGCGCGTTCGGGTCAGTTGTATTTATATTGCAACCCGCGGTGTCTTCATTCTAAATCTGAATGGCCTTATACTTTCATTTTTGCTGTAGTCAAAAACTTGATACTAAAATTACAACTAATAAGAAAAGAAAATGTGCTGGTTATAGTTATGGGCCGTCAAGAAGGTAATTCTTTAAAAATATGAAGAAATATTCTACATAATGAAACGTCTTGCTCATTTTTAAATCTGAACTTTTTTCATAGCCAAAGCTTGGAGAATACAAGTAAGAAGAAGGGAAAGCATGCTAACTCCTAGAGCATAAAAAAGGTAGCCTAAACTAAATCTGATTTTTTTTTGCATGGTCAGTTCTTCAATCTCAACCCCAAGTATTGTTGATAAACATGAACACGTACAGGTCAAGAAATGGTTCAAATCAGCCTGAGCCACTTTCAAGTGTTTCCTACATCCATAGATGAAGCAGAAGTTGTGAAGATAATGGGCCAAAGGAAGGAAAGAACAAGCTAAAAAGGCTACAAAAAAAAAGTTTCAACTTGATAGTCCTTCAATGGCCACAAAGAGCAAAACAATTAAGACCGAAAAGTCTTGCAATGAGCACAAGGAGTAAAAGAAGATTAAGTTTGTGATTACCATATGCAACTAAAAAGAAGATTTAATTTATGAGATCTCTTAATTTGTACAAGCAACTAAAAAAGGAAAGTGTAAGATTTATTTTTAAAAAATGCCACCAAAGACAGCACTAGCCAACATACGGGGAAAGAACGTGCAATAACCATCCCGTGAGTGCAACGTTGACGAAAAAATGCATTAGGGGCAAAATGGTCTTTTTACATGAGATTTAACACTAGCAAACTGACGAAAATGTCACATAGATAAGAAAAATTGACAGAGTAGACAAATAAGAAATATTACGAGTTTTGGTGTCAAATAGAAGAGTATAACTTTTTCTAGTGCCAAATAGAAATTTCTCAAACATCAAACTCTACAGAGAAGAAGTTGGCACTATTTTTATTGGCACCATATTTCAAAGATCACAGTATTATGTAGTAATGGGCCTGTTCGTTTGGAGGAATTCTTGAGGAATTTGGATGGTTTGGAGGAATGCTGGAGGAATCTGTGAGAGAAAAACGTTGTTCCGGATGAAAAAAGAAACGGATCAAGTCGGATTTAAGGACACGCGAACGCGCAGAATGCCCAAAAGGTTGTTGTATGCTCTTTTCCATACCAAAAGTTGTTGCATGCTCTCCTTCTCATACCGGTTCTTTCTGATTCTCTACTCATAAATAGGCATCCACCTAAGAACGTTTACCACTCCAAGTTTTACTAATCTAACATTATTACTTATAAGTTTTTTAAGAGATTACTTATAAGTTTATAACACTAGCAAATATGCACGTGGGATATGCACGTATTTATGAAATCTATTTCAAATGCAATGAAAATGTTAATTGAATTATCGATATATAATAAAAAGGTAGACGGCAAGTACTTCGATCGATTTGATTGGGTCACGTAGGAATAAGGTTTAAATCGTTACGTGTATTTGCTTTCCTTAATTCGTACGACGGAACTTGGCCTATTAGTTTCCGCTGTAGCGCAGTGCATGATGTGTGCTGGCTTTCTGGGCCGCACATCTCTAACGGCCCAAGTCCAGCTAGAGCACGCCTTCTTTCCCCTTCCTCAACTGGACAAAACGATCGATCATCATGCATGGGATCCGAGGTAGAAACCTAAACGAAGGCCTAATCCGACACAATTCCTACGGTGCTAGGGCAGACGGCTCGTATAGCATGAAAAGTTGTTATAAAATAAAAGTAAGATAGATCAAACGATTATTATAGAGAAAGAGTCCCTAAAAAAACTTACTCTTTTATAGTGTAAGTGATGATGTGACGACGATGATATATTACACACAGGAGCTAGTAGCATGACAAAAAAATCTTATTATTCCAACTGGGAGAGTACGTGAACAAGTAGTGTATCGGAACATGCAAGGAGTAGAACATAGCCGGGCCGGGCCGGTCACACCTCACACGAGGCGGCGGCATATGCAGTGCCGGTCCTATGATTTTAAGGGGTCTCATCACAACGGTCCCTTTTACCACGTATAAAATTTTATAATATATAGACACTAATTTTACTTATAAAATAAAAATAAATTCAATAACATATTTTTAATTTAACATGTCTGATAATTATCGAGGAACAATATAGATTAAGCAATATATTTATAGATGTATGATAATTATCGAGGAACAAGGTAGATTAAAAAAGCAATATATTCATTTTCTTTTCTCACACCATGACAAATGTTTCTTAGATAACATTCTAAAATTCTAACACCTAAATTAGAAGTAAAATATGACTATATTGGTACAAAGTATTTGAAGTCTGGAACACTATACAAATAATTAATTTAGATTAAAAATAAAAAAAATACGTTAGGCCTAAATAACTGATCGGTGATCGCAATTCGTAAGAAGCAAAGAATCAATATGTCGTCGTCGTGGAGCCCTGCCTGGTCGCCGTCCTCGTGCGCCGCGTCCGTGTCTCCGGTAGTCTAGCTCTTCGCGGCGGTGCGGCTCGCCAGCTCTGCGTGTGTAAGGCGCACGTCGCGAACTCACGATCAGAGTGTGTTGTGTGCAGCGTGACTCCTCGTCTCCTCTCTACTCGAGGGCCGTGGGGAAAGGAAACTAGGGAAGAAATGCCGATGTTGTCTTTTTGGGTTGCCTGACCAGTTCTATATCTCTTTTCTCATTAGTTTGCTAATGCCTAATGGACTATATGACCTGAGGGTTTGTATACCTGAGCTTGTGCCCCTTCTCCGCTTGGGCCCTCGGCCATCGCACCTCGTGCCCTACCCCTAAGGCCGGCACTGGGCATATGGTGACGCCATCGGAGATGGTGAGCTGGCACACATCCACGCGCTCGTCGGCGGCGAGCATGGCGTTGAGGTCTCACATAACAGCCGAGTGCGGCGGTCAAAGTCCCACAGGGGCGCGTCGTTGGGCGGCAGCGCCACCATGCCCGCCTACAGCGTGTCGTCGTACACGATGACGGCCCCACCCGCACCAGGCGGAGCAGCTGCTCGTGGTACCGCGCGTAGTTGGGCTTGTCGGCGTCGACGAACGCGAAGTCGAACGCCCCGACGTTCCCCTCGTCGGAGAGCAGCGCGTCCAGGTGCTCCAGCGCGGGGCCCTCACAGAAGTCGACCTTGTGCGCGACGCCGGCACGCTCGATGAAGGGGCGGCCGATGTCGTAGTACTCGCAGCTCACATTGATGGCGATGACCTTGCCGTCGTCGGGGAGAGCCACACCGTGGCCAGCAGGGAGTAAACGATTGAATCTTGTTTACATCTTACATGTAAGATCACGGATGACGGACGGCTCGTATAGCACGATGTGTAGATTGAACGGTTGATATAGAGGAGGAGTAAGATCGCGCATGACGGAGTCAAACGATTATGAAAGAGAGATAGCTTCTATAAATTATTGGCTCTTTTATAGTGTGATGTGAAATGATGCTTAAACTCTTTTTTTCTTTTTTATCACTCGGAGACAACATTGGGGAGGCGTAATTATGGGTTCACCGCACCATCTTGAAAGAACATCTCCGGCTCGAGAAAATGTCGAAGAAGCGCATCACCGGACCAAAATTCTCAACCATGATGATGTGGAGCTGATCCAAAATTCTCAACCATTGATGTGGGCACCAAACTAATCCGAGCGGCCCATTGGAAACAGACTCCTCATCTCCACCGCCGCTAGGCCGGCCGCCGGCGCGACTCTTGCAAAACCCTCGATCCGGACGGTGCACCGCCGCCGCGGCGCCGCCTCTGCCTCACGCCATGGCGCGGACGATGCCGCCGTCTCCCTCGCCTCGCGCCGCCGTCAAGAGAGAATTCGACGTCGCAGAGCCCAGCGCTCACACGCCGGCGCCGCCGCGGAGGCCGCCTCCCAGTAACCCCGACCCAGCTTCCCCTAAGCCCTCCCCTCCTCACGCCACGGACCATCCCGTCGGTGGCATCAGGGGACGCGTTCTTGGCCGGCTTAACGCCGACGCCTGCGTGCTCCGCCGTCAAGGTCGAGCCCGGCGCGGACGCCGGGGTGGGGGGCCACCGGAGGGCGGCCGGGAAACCAAACGAGTCGCGGGACCCCCGCTCCGTCAAGAGGCCGGCGGCAGCGGAGCCTCCCACCCTCTGGCTCAATCGCCGCCGACTGGGCCAGATCCTCCACGAGCTCTCGGGAGCGCATCGGTGGCGCGACGCGGCCCGCGTCGTCTCGACGCTCCTCAGCGGCAACCGAAGGCCTGACTCCTACGAGGAGACCCGCAGAATGTTCGTGGTAAGTAACCATGCTTGATAAAAATTTGCAATTTTTTTTTACTTTGTTTTAGTTGGCGTTTCTGATGTAAGTGCTGGATGAAAGGTGGCCATGGAGATCCATAAGCGGCTTGCTGAGGACAGCAGCGTGCAGCACGGCGGCAGGAGCAGCTACTACCTCAGAACGCAGAAGTTGTTCAATGTTTGGATGCGAAAGCTGATTTGGTTTCCTTCTTGCCCAAAAGTAAGTTCCAAATTCTACTGTCAAGCTTCTCTAATCTAGAGGGATTAGTGTTATCAAGTATTCAAGTTAGCTGATACTAGTATAACTGAAATGAAATGAGAAATATATGAATGAAACTGAACACATACCTTGGGTTATACTACTAGCGTTTCTTATAAGTTATAAGGACATATCTGGAATATATTTGGGAGGACAAAATAAATGTTATGTGTTTCTACATCAGGATTACAAGGCTTTTTATTTTTAAATACTAATGTGATGGTTATCGTTTTACCTGCGGAATGCTCATTTTTTGCTTTTAGTTTTATAATATTGATAGATGGGAAAAACATGATGACTTATGTTCTGCTGCCTGCTTGGCCAATTTTGTTATTGTTATTTTTAGATACTTGACCATTTTTTTTCCATTTGACAGAAAAACTTGGTTACACTTGAACTGGCCCTATTTTACCTTTCACAAGGCAACATCGACAATGCGCACATCGCAACAAGAACGTGCGTCATGTGTACACTCGTTCAGTGTTCTCTTTTGTTCCATCTGTTAGACCTCTTGATCTGCTGTGGTCATGGGTTACAAGCCTGTTCCCTTCAATTTTTCTGTTCACTTTTATGAAACATGTTACCTGTATATAGACGTCCAAGAAAAAGGTCATGGGTTGCAAAGATTATTAGCATAGTTTTTTTTCGCTTGAGGTCAATGAATTACAAGATACTTGAGCTGTTTAGACGTGCAATTTCCACTATGGCTTAAGAATATACATATGCACTTCTATCACTGCAAAAGACTACATTTCTTAAATTAGATATTTATTCTGCTGAAAGTTTCCTAGTACCTGTGCAGTTTATGTGATACTTGCTTAGAGTTGAAGCTTTTGGGTATTAGCTGCTTGCCACCTTTCCCTTCTATCTAGGGCCTGTTTGGATCCATTAGCACTAAAAATTAGCAACTAAAATTGGTACTAGTGGATCCAAACAGACCTACTAATAAACCTACTAATTATTAGCTGGTGGGCTGCTAACTATTTGTTCCATTAGCTGGTTTGGAGTTACTAATAGGTGCTAATAGTTTATATGCACTTTCAACTCACTATCCAACCACCTATTAGCAGGTGGATCCAAACAGCCTCTTGCTAAAAATTAGTAGCTATTGGCTTTGGCTATTAGCTAGCTAATTTTTAGTGCTAGTGGATCCAAACAGGCCCTAAGTCTTTTTTTTAGTTCTTCCCACATTACTGAATTGATGTACTTTGAGAACTTGATAATTTCTTTTGTTTATCAGCCTTATCGCCAAGGGCAAACTGCAGACAGAACCAATCTTAAATCTGGTTCATGGTTTGACATCATTTGATAAATGGTACTCTGGCTTGCCTAAAGACATGCAAGTTGAGGATTTTGATGTTTATGATGAATCATGCGGTATTTCCATGGAGTCAAATGGTTCTGAAGGAACTGATCTTCTGGATAATTCAGATGAGGATAGCATGGATATTGATGCGTCCAGTTTAGCTTCTTGCTCTTCAGAAAGTTTGATCAATAATGAGAATATAGACAGAAAAATGAATAACAAATCTGGTTATGTTCACCCTAAGGAGGAAATGGATCCACTTGAATCACAAGCAAATGAAAACTTGCGAAGCATATTTTTGGATACCTATGATGGTCCTACATGTGGTAAGTATCAATTTTGTAGTAGTTGTTCTTTTGTGTTCTTCAAGGTGTTCTTTGGCTTTCTGTTTCATTTAAAAAGTGAGATACTTTAACTGTTCTAGACTTCTAGTTACGTGAAGGAATTTGTACTCAGGGTCAGATGTAATGATCCCATATTGAGACCATATGGGCTAAAGTACATTAAAAAATGCTTAAATGTCAAATGTTAATGTAGCACCTACCAGAGTTTTTTTGTGCTAGCCCACATTTTGTTTTTAGTGCATCCAGTTCTGCATGCACCTCTGCAGTGGTTTTCGAGAACTCATTACTGAAATAATTCTAAGTTGTTCGATACATGATCTAGTCTAGATTCTAAGTATCCTTTTCATTGTATGAGTTCACAAAAAGTGCAGAACAAAGGAGCAGTTCATTGGAATACTATTATTAAAATCATGAAGACTCAATGAGTATGAAAAGAGAAGAGTGACAACAGGACATTTTGTATGCATTTCCTTAAGGCTTTCTACTTCATTTTGGTACAAAACAAGCTAGATTTTCTTTATTTCTAGTTTGTTTGCATCTTGTTGCAGTTGGGGTGGTGTGGATTGAGTTACTTTACTTATAGGGTGTGTTTGGTTTCCTGGCTCAGTCGTAGCCTGGCTAGGATTGTAGCCTGGCTAGGCTAAACCTGGTTCCAGCAAGCCAATATGGGGTTGTTTGGTTGTTGTACTGTTTAAGCCTGGCTTAGCCCCACAGCGTGTTTGGTTGTCTGGTTTGTTTTGATACAGTCACCTCTTCTCCAAATTTTTAAGTTTACCCCTTTGAGAGATTTCGTCGAACAAGTGATGGGCATCTCGGCGAGCATGGCAGCAGCAGGACTAGCTCGCCAGCGGCGTCGTGGGCACCCTGCCACGCGACCCCCACCACCTTGTCGCACACCCCTTGCCGCGGAAACCCCCGCGCGACGCACCAGGCACCACCGAGTTCCGAGGCTTCGAGAAGGCCACGAGTCGGTGACGGACCTCGCCATGGATAGACCTTGACGCCCGCACACGCAGCTGGGCTTATCACGATTCTGTTGGTGACACCTCTTTTAGGCCAGCAGCTTTCTGTGTTTATTGGATATGAAGTGTGAGCCAACGAGGGCCTTTTTTTTAACCTAGCCTGAAATTCACAACCACAGGCATGGGGTGCTACTTGAGCTGTTCTAACCAGTCAAGTCGCAGGCTTGTTTGCGAAGATGCAGCTTCATTTGTGTTTCCTGTCAGACCTAGTCCTCAGACCAATCCACCTCATTAAGCTGAATTACCACCTTACCAGTATATTCGTCTATTAATTTTGCGATCTTGTTGTGAAGTCATATCTGTAGCTCCACATGATTGTGTGCTAAAATGTTACATTCTATTATCTGCACTGAAGGATTGGAGCAGAGCCTGCTGCCTTTAAAGCTAAAGTTTGCTACTGGGGCTTCCAATGATTGTTTTGATAAATATATGAAGTACAAGTCAGTGCCTAATACCTTATATGAAGATGCAGAAAAATGTCTAAGATTGGCTCTTCATTCAAATCCGCCGGTGATGGCTGCGTTATTGCCACTAATACAGGTATTTTTTATCTCCTCCCATACATATTAGGAGTTATGTAATTCTGCAACTGTATTCAAACTAAAACCAAATTGCCCTTAGTGAACTAGCCTTTTATTTAATACTAGTATATTGCCCGTGCTAACGCTACGGCGACTTTCGGTAGTACAAATCAAATATTCAAAAGATAATATATGCATCGGTAACATAGCATAGATGTGGTATGTTTAAGATTCACTAAAAAACAACGATACGTAGAGTTAGATATATAAACACTGATCTCATTTGAAATACATTGATAACTTCACAGCACACACTGAAAGAGTTAGAACTACAGTAAGTATATTTTCTGGGAATCATCTTATCTACCCTACATACAGAGGCCTAAATAAGCATGTCTTGGTGGCAGTGATCGCCGTGGCAAAGGTTCAGCAAGGTGTGTGCGAAGCACCTTTCTACAAAAATCTTCTCTGCAGCTGGAGAGCATGAGATGACAAATATACCATCTGCAACTTAACCCATCAATGGCAATATTTCTTCTGGTTGCTGTCAGTGACCAATTTATGAGCTATTATTTGTCATCCCAACTCTTATCATTTGTTCAGGACCAACAAGAACAAAATTTAATATTTAAGAAATCAAGCAGGGATGGGAAGAACATACCGCATTGATCAGTTGCTGGGTGGAAATAAAACAAACTGACGTGCACCTTATGTTATATCCGAAATCACAATTGTGCAACCATACACTGTCTTTTTGCTCCAACCTGGTTCGTTCCACTTGTTTGCATAATGTCATAGTTGGTCAACAATGAATTTGCACCAATTCATGCCAGCAAAGTTGTCAATGTTATTAACTGTACCCCATACATTTTTTGTGATGAAAGTACAGGAGCAACAAGCCATTAATTTAGCAAATACGATCATCATGAAACACTGCATATTGTAAATCTGTCAGTGCCTCATTTCTTAACAAAATATAGGCAATGTCTCAAGTTTTTTTTGCTTTGACTGAGATTCTTAATTATAAACTCTAATGTTTTTTTGTTTACCGTGGTGTTTAATCAAGATCCTCTGGCCCGTTCGGCTTGCTGAAACTTGGCTGAAAAACATTGTTCTGACTGAATTGTTGTGAGAGAAAAACACTGTTCCGGCTGAAAAAAGAAGCCGAACAAGCCGGATTTAAGGTCAGCCGAACGGGCCAGAGGATCTTGAAAAAAACACTGTTCTATTAGCATAATATAATTTTCTTATACCTTCCACTCTCTTAGCACCAACCATGTGTTTGATGCAGCAATTATCTAAGCTCGTTTCTTTATGAACGACATCACTCAATTTGGCAAACAAAAAAAAGTATCCTTTTCTGAGCCAATATGTTTTTCTTTCTTTGGCTGATGCTACATCAACTAAAAGCTTTATTTTCTTAACCTGTCAGTTTAGTGAAACAGTACAAATTAACCTAGCCATGAACGGCCCAAGCCAAATCACCCAGTAATTAAATCAAGTGCCCCGTGGATTCACTGTGACAAGCTTCTGGCATTCTCTGTGATAAGAGTGTACCACAAAAGCTAAAAGGCAAGTTCTATAGAACGGCGACTAGACCGGTTATGTTGTATGGAGCAGAATGTTGGCCTACAAAGATTCGACATGTTCAACAACTGAGTGTTGCAGAAATGCGTATGTTGCGATGGATTTGCGGTCACACAATAATAGACCGAGTTCGAAACGATGATATACGTGATCGCCTAGAGGTAGTACCAATTGAAGAAAAGCTTATCCAACATCGGTTGAGGTGGTTTGGCCATGTCCAAATGAGACCTCTAGAGGCACCAGTGCATTGTGGAGTCGTAAGTCAAGCTAATAATATGAGGAGAGGTAAAGTAAGACCGAAATTGACATGGGGGGAGGCAATAAAAAGAGATTTGAAAGCTTGGGATATACCTAGAAATCTATGTTTGAATAGGAGTACTTGGAAAGCAGCTATTAAAGTGCCTGAACCGTGACTTGGGGCTCTTGGTGGGTTTCAACTCTAGCCTACCCCAATTTGTTTGGGACTGAAAGTGGTCTACAATGGATATGAGCCATTAGTCAGCCTGTCTTTCCTCGATGATTTATGCAGACCACTTTGACCGTTAAAATCACAGGCTAAGTAAATATCCTTGTGAAAAAAAAGTTGCGGTGGGAGGACTCGGAGCCCGGCAGGCCGAGGCAGAGTGTGAGACGGGGAACCGGCGAGGAGGAAGAGGTTGGGGTTGGCGGCGCAGCCCCGCAGATCACCTCCGAGAACTTGGCGGCGATCTGGTTGCCGCACTGGCCGCCAGGATGTGCAGCCGCCGTGCCCTTCGCCCAAACCCTAGGCACGGGCGCTCCTGCGCGTGGAGGCGCTGCCGCCGTCTCCTGACCCGTCTCGCGTTGAGCTTTCGTTTTTTTCGGAAAAAAGGGAAAAACAAGGTGGAGGTGGGAATCGAACCCAGAGCGCGAGCGTAGGGGCGAAGTCGCACGGATGGTTCGCTGCGTGCAGGAGGATGAGGAGGTTGACGCACTCAATCTGGACCGTTGGATGTGAGTGAGTAAGGAGAGAGAAGAAATTAGAAGCAATCTGGACAGGCCGTTTTAAAGATGTTGTTTTTCTGGGTATAATTTTGTGGGTGGATGGATGGGGGGCATCTCAGCAGGGGACGTTTTTTGGTGTGGATTTAGCAAAGAAAAAAGTGGTGAATTAGTAGGGTAGATACCATTTTCATCTAATTTGTGCATCATTGTACCATTTTCTGCTTCTGGCCCTCTTTTGGTTCCCCTCCCTCAACTCCTCCACATTGTAATGAGCCGTTCGTTAGAGGGGAATTGCTGCTAGGAAGATAGCCAGGTGGACTTGGCTTGGAGGGAGACTAGAGTTCTGGGGAGACTTGGATTACTTCTTCATATTGATTAATTACAAAGAGGCATGTGCATACCTCATATAGAGCCAGCCTAACAACCCCTAATCTAATCATCATAACGAATCTTATCTGTTACTGCATAGGCCGTGGCACCTCCTCCCTGAATTGGCCCCTGTTATGTTACTGCCAATAAAATCTCCTTTTCCCTTGCAAAACAGCTCACCCTTGAGCTGTGATGGAAATCATATAACTGCAGACCTTACCTGATCGTTGACCTGATGTGCACACGCAGGTGCACATAAATACTGTGCTGAAAGAAGCCTTTTACATCTTGGCTTCATTTTATTTGCGAGTAAGACATGGAATTAACTTGAACTCTTTGTTTGTGTCACATCTCCAAATATAGGTGGACCCCCATCCTGAAGCATGAAAGATAGGGACCGATGTAGAGGTTGCTCCTGAATTCTTGCATGCACCATATGGCTCAGGGGGAATATCTCCTAATTCTTGGTCCCCTTTATCTCCTGCTTCATTTTTTGACTTCTCCCACAGAATTGTTCAGGCAGTAGAGTGGAGTCCAAAAGGGAGTGGAATTCAAAAGAAAACATTCATGCAACTGAAATTATTTGCAGGATTTGCTTGCTATCTTTTGTCTTCATGTGAAGAATGGAAACTCCAGGCCTCATTAGGTAGATCTGCATGATTAGATGCATAGAGTAACTCTCCTGGATAGCATGGGATTTGCGAGACTAGCAGATGTAATGGGCCCTAGTTCGTTAGGGACTTAGGCGTAAAAACATCACCGGGAAGATAGCTAGGCGGAGTTGGCTTGGAGGGAGACAAGACTATTTGGGACTCTCGGATTGATTCTTCTTCATTGATTAAATTAAAAGAGAGGTATTCGTGTGCGTTATATAAAGCCAGCATTACAACCCCTAATCTAATCAAACAACTTCTTTCTGTATATCTTTCTTTTCTTTTACTCTTACCCTGCTATTTTCTCAGTTTCTTAGAGTAGTATGGTATGACCTCACTTCACCTCACTCATAAGTACCCTAGGCATAGTAGGTGGGTGGATTGCCACGCCTCGCTTTAGCACCTCGACATTGGGCGGTACAACCTGCATTCTAATGGAAGTTGGTTGTCTCTCAGTTTTTTTACATGTGCCCAAGCAATCCAATGCATGAGAGACATCTTGGTTTTCTGGACACCCCTCTCCTCTACATCACTTGTGCTGCACCACATTGCTTATAGAGTGTTTATATAATTGCTTTAGAGACCAGATTTTCTTTTTCAAGTTGTCATTGGGTACATCATAATTTGTTCTTAGTCTTTGCATCTTTGGTACCATATTGACATAATGACATTGATATAGTCTTCCGCTGTGGGACTCTCTAATGATACTTTGGTAAATCACGAGTATATGGGTTGGCTAGATGCAACTCTGATTGAAATCGCTGCTGGATCACTGGACAGCGCCGCCGTCAACATGGCAACAAGCCAAAAACCAAGCCCCCCCTTCTACACGGCTCCTCCTTTTACAGATATGCGGTCACCCTGGCCTCGCCTGTGAACACACGCACGCCCCCTTTTCACACGGTCCATCTCCTCAGCAGACCTGGCCTGGTCCTGTGCCGCTTTGCCGACTCCTTGATTCTCCTGGTACTCCCGTAGCAGAGTTGCTGACATCCATGTTTTCTTTCAAGCTAATCATGTGCTGCTTGTTTTGAATCGACGTGGAATTCTCCTGTGAAATTCATTTACTTTGATGATTTTTTGTTTTACCATTTGTTCAAATTTTTTTTTGCTACATACGTTTTGACAGATTCGCCTCCTTGGTGATAAACTGAAAGATGCACTAAATGAGCTTGAAAAGGCCTGCCTCAGTTCAACTACAGCCCTCCCTTTCAGGTAAAACAATGTGTCATCTTGAATCTCATCCCTTATCTAAGGTTACATGGTATTTTTGAATCATCCAGTCTGTTTTTTTTTCCTCATTTGATTAAAAACAAGGTTTTGTGATTTGAGTAGTTTAAGTTAATTAGTTTCTTGGTGCAGGTTGAGAGGTAGGCTGCTGGAAGAGTATGACCAAAACCAGGTATCAACCATTTCTTCTTGCTATGAGGAGACTTTGAGAAGAGATCCTACATGTAGCTACTCCATGGAGAGGCTAATCAAAATGCATAGAAAAGGTTTGGGCTTAACTTTTTTTCTTCCAGATTCTTCTACTGTTTAATCACAGTACTACTTGGAAAGCTGAATTATTCTCCCATATAACTGTGTTAAACTCTTTGCTGGTATGATTGGCTATCTGTAATCATGTATGGACTTTTGGTGCATAGAATATCCACAGGTTTTCACTTCACTAAACTGAGCTTCCTTGGTAAAGGCATTTGAAATATTCCACTTTCAACTAACCTATTTTTTAACTAATGCTGGTTATTTTGTTAGTCCTAATCACCTGATCATAAACATATCGTTCAAGGATTACTGCCATACCTGTCAAACTTTTAAAAACTTGGACAATTAATGCATAAAACCCTAGGTAGGTTGACAGCATAAGATTAGTATTAGTAGAACCTTCATGAAAGGTACTTTCACATTGTGTAATACTTCTTTTATATTTTTCATATTAGAAATGATAGTCGACAGTCTAAGGCCCTGTCCTATTTTATTCAAAGCGGGACAGAATAAAATATTAGTTTGTCCATAAGCTAGAGCAGCCTACTGCTACCCCTAGTCAGCAGGGTGTTAGGCTGCTGCAGTTCAGAAATGGAAGAATCAACAACAGCCTATACATTTTTCCTCACGCCAAAACAGTAACTTTATGGTTGCGATGTTCCTATGACTATTTTCCATGGTGCAAAAATATTTGAACATCAATTTAGGTTGTGGTGATTTGAAGTATTTTGTGCTAAGCAAATGTTTGTATTCATCACTTTTTCTTCTGTTGTTGGGTCACCTTCCAACTATTTGAGGCAATACCTTTACTTTTAGACTTGTCAATGGACTGCTTATCTGGGAAATGAAGTATTTTGCTAAGCAATGTTTGCCTTCGCCTTTTTTTGTATTGGTTACCCCCAGGATATTATAATGCCATCCAACTACTTGACTATGAGGATTGCCTGCATCTGGGAAGAGCTTGTATCATGTTTCCTTCGGTTTTTTTCTGACAATACTGCTGACTATGAGGATTGCATATCATGTACTAATACCCATGGAGATGAAGCATTGGAGGTTTCCAGTAAATTGTCTTCAGTCTTCTTTGAGCGGTTTACCAGAGAATCATGGAAGGCCCGATGCAGATAGTGGGCACACCATCATTTCAGCCAAAATGCTTATACATCAGAAACTCAATCAGGTAGCTGCTCATTCCTCATTTATATTACTGGCATAAAATGACATAATGTCCTACTTTAATTAAGATTATTTAGGCCAGCAAGTGTCATCCATATTGACTCTAATTTGTTCCATATTATACTGTGACTGGGAATATTTTTTTGGTTGATCTAGGGTTACTGATTTCATGAAAATGATGGGTATCTGTATGCAGAACCCTGAAGCTGTTTAGTATTGGATCACCGATAAGCCAATTTGATTCAATTATTCACTGTGGTGTATTGGTGTGAAAAGGTTTTCTCTGGTATTCCATGTTCCTGTGAGCTGTTAGCTGCTTGTTCCTTTGCTGTACATAATGATTACCTTATCGGTGAGGTTTGTGAGCATGTCAGCGACACAAGGTATGGTGGGGCTACACCCAAATTGGGAGAGTAACGGTGACTGGATTACTGTCCCAAAATCTAGTGTTACTGGATTGCTGTCCCAAAACGTTGATAGTAAACATATGTAGTGGTATGGTGATTCCTTGGAGAACATAATGACATTATGGTGTGGAATTAGAATTATCAGGCACATATTCCCCTTAGCATGCTATATTTATATGTGCGGGATGGGATCACGGCTAAAAACAGTTCTGTGGTTTTACAGGTGATTGCAAGCTCCTGGCTGCTAAGGCAGCGTGTGCTGCTCATTTGTTTGGACCAGAATTCCCATATGTCAAAGCAGTTGGGAGCTATATTGCAAAGCAAGAAGCTCTGGATGAAATCAGTATCCTAGTCAGAAATAAGCAGAACTCTGTCAGGCTATTAGAAACTTTGGAGAAACTAACATCATGATCCATCTTGATCCAACATTTCACCATTGCTTGGTGTTGGTAATTAGCATAATGTTGACAATGTTTTTTAGACCCCCCTCGGGAGGCAAAATTTTGTAGGATCAATAGTGTTAGATGTATAGGAGGTGTATGTGTTTTCCCTCTACTTGAAGGACTTCTTTGCATATGTACATTGTGTATATTTGCCCTCTTGGGCCTTGCAATAGAGCGGGTTGGTCATTCTCTAACATGGTATGATCGCTACTCTCTCTCTGCCTATTGTGTTTTCCTTGGCTCCTCGTTGATTGCCTGGAAAACCAAGAAGCAGACTGCAATTTCCCGCTCGAGTGCTGAGGCTGAGCTGCGTGATATGGCGACTGTGACTGCGGAGGTGACATGGCTACGATGGCTTCTTGAGGATTTTAATGTGCCTGCCACTACACCCACTTCTCTCTCTTTTGACAGCACCGGTGCGATCAGTATTGCTCGAGACCCAGTTAAGCATGAGCTCACCAAACACATTGGCGTTGATGCTTCCTACAGGAGATCGCAGGTGCATGAGCTGGTCGGGTCTCATCATAGATTCCTACTCTCCAAACTAGGTGTTGTAGATCCACCATGAGTTTGAGGGGGAGTGTTAGATGTATAGGAGGTGTATGTGTTTTCTCTCTACTTGGAGGGCTTCTTTGTATATGTACATTGTGTATACTTGTCCTCTTGGGCCTTGCAATAGAGCGGGTTGGTCATTCTCTAACAAATAGCATGCCACCAATGTGGTGGTGTTGTAGGCAGAATCTTGGTGCTGGTGATGCCATACGTTGTGTGTAGCAGCAAAGAAGCAAAGACAACAGAAACCTAAGAAATAGAGGCCATCTAGTTTTTTGTTCCCTTGCTTTTTGCGAGATGTAAATGAATGGCGAGAGGGGTCCTGAAAACTACACTTTCGTTATATACTTAGCGTGCCGCACTGAAGCTGCACTGAGGCCTGTTTGGCAACTTTACAAATGAAATTTTAAGCACCTGTAATCCCTTGAACTGTTCCTCTTGTAGTTGCTGTTTGGATTAAAAACAAAGTGCACTGCAGCTCATCCTAAGATGGACAAACATTTATAAATAATCATCTCTAGACTATAAAGAGAAAAATGAAGAACAATGCAAGGATAGTGTAATTCTCCTCCTTGGTCTGCCTGAGATACCCAGATCGTGGTCTTTTGCAACTTGTTTTTCTCGAACATGCACTGTAGCACGTATTTCATTAAGAGAAAAAAGAGAACATCCAAACAAACAACGCCAGCGTCGACCGAAGGTAACCAAAGGTTGCCCCGTCAAGCTGCACAAACATAAAACAGAGTGGCAAACGAAAAACCAAAGGAAGCCGGCAGCGACCACACAAGAGACTAATTACATGAATGAACTGAGCGACGACAGGGTCGAATACCCGGCCCGCGTATTTTGCAACTTGTTGAACCTCCTAATTGTTGTTTGGGAAAACTGGTTTGGAAAAAAAAAACACAGAGCAAAGCAGTGATGACTGCTGATGGACGCGCCAACCTGCTCGCCGGTCTCACCATAACATCCGTAAGGGCAGTCATGACGAATTTTGCAATGGATCATCGCTCCTGACGTAGACTAAGCGCCGCCGCAATCAAGGCTGTAATGGACATCCAGGAGTGCACGTAGAGTCAGAGTGGAGAAGGAGAGAATGGTGTGAATTGAGGAGGGGGAATGGGCATTCAGATTCTACGTAGAGTCGAGTGGAGAGGGGGAGAAGGAGCCACCGGTTTGCATTGAGTGGAGGGAGGAAGAGCTAGCTATTGCAGAGACGAGAAGAGTTGGGTTCCCATAGTTGTGATTCTATCATGGAACGATCAAAGGAACACAAGGCAAACACATATTAAGGGCGTGTTTGGAACATAGTTTTTTCATAGGAATTTTGGAGGATTTCATTCCTCTGGAAAGAAAGCCTGTGAGAGCATTTAGAACACAGGAAAGTAGTCTTTCCTTTCCTATGGAATACTTGTTGATGCAAAAGTGGATCTGCAAACACAAAGGGCTAATACCCGAATCGATATCCAAAGCGTGCCAGTCGATTTGACCTGTTAATCGACAAGGATGAAGATACGAGCACTTTGGTCCTGACAACAGCGATACGCCCGGAAGTCACGGCCAAGAGGTACTCACGCGGAACTCGAGAATCACCGAAGGTCGCACTGAGACAATGCAACTCGCCGAATCAATGAGAACTCGTAAAAAGAAAAATATGCAAATTGACGAAGTCGCCGAAAAGTAAGTAGATGTAAATAGGAGTAGAACTTGGTTTTGATATTGATTGATATCTTTATTACATTGCCCCTCACTCCATATTTATACCCTGATCTAAAGAGACACAACCAAACACAACTAGGACACCAACCCCATATTTAAGGAAACACGTGACTCTTACATGAGTCATACTCTAACAAATATAGAAAAGGAAATCAACTCCTATCTATTTCCTTGTCCGCCTTAATTACGATGGAAATCTCACCGTCCTCCTTCCCATCGGCATACTCCCTGTTTCATTGGCAGTAGTCTTCAAGTCTTCCTTCATCGGCATACTCCCTGTTTCATCGGCAATAGTCTTCAAGTCTTCCTTCATCGGCATACTCCCTGTTTCATCGGCAGTAGTCTTCAAGCCTCCCTTCATCGGCATCGACAATAACACCTCCAACCTCATCGGCAACGCCCGAGTCTAAATCAACCTTTCCATCGACCACAACCAGCTATCGGCAACCATCTTTACAAGCTGGCTTTCATCGGTTATCAGAGTATACAGCAACTTTCCCCTTGCCGATCAGTCCACTCCGATCATTTTGACACGTGCAAAAAACGTTGTCAACACATGCCCCCCAATTTCGGAGTATAACACCATTAATGCTCCGAAATTTACTCCAGATAACGTTTGCCTTCGCCCGATTACCGTAACTCATTCTCCAAGCCAAAACTTGATCTGTTATCAAATCCAATCAAATCTAATCCTGATTCACGCACTTCAGTAAATATCGCACAATCGCCAACCACTCTTGCCTTGATTATGGTTAAGATACCGAAACAATAACCCATCGGCAAGATCTTAACATGATAATGTTTGTCGTTTCGGAATTAAAATATCCTGTATCGATACCTCTTCCAAATCATGATTACTTGCCATCAACTCATCATCAGACAATCCCACGATTATCGTATGCGAACAGCTTACCATATCCATCTGAACCACCTCGACCTACATGCGCGGTATATAGAGATAAGTCCAAAACACCCCTACTCCAAGCGGCTTATAAATAGATTCCTCCGGAACACTCGCCTTCTACCCTCGGACTCCAATCTTTGACATTTTCTCTTTCCGGCGGCGACTCATCTCGATTTAACAATCTGCTAGCGACCTCAACCAACAAGAACTCTTCTCCAGCGTTAACCTCAAGTCTCCGGCTCGTCCCCATCTTCCTCAAGATAATGGCAATCAACTTCGACGCCCCTATGGTTCGCTCCACTTCCATTACCTTTTACTTTGATCCCCTAGTTTTTGCAAATCCATACAGTTGGTGATTTTTCCTTTCTTTTGTTCTCCGGATCCTTTACACTTAGGAACCGCGCAACAAATTAGTTATTCCAACCAATCAGCCGCATGTCCAATGCCTAGGACCAATGGGCAACCCAGATCCAACTGATCTGATTAATGCAGAGGTTAATGTAATCCCTTTAGAGCCCAAAATTTCTCTCTCGAATTTATGGAAAGACACATTCCGATCTTGGCCCAAGATCACCAAAGGGTGGAAAGATTGGTACTTGAGGGTTAATAGATCGATGCAAGTATATCAAGGTAAGCGGAAGTTAGACCAATGCATTGGGCTATCTATTGCCGATATGCGTAAGAATGAATCAATGATGATTGCAAATTGCTTATTCGGGTCGACACAACAAAACACTTTTATGTTTGGACATGGCCCAGCTACTCCCACACTTGCCGATGTCCACATGCTCACTGGCTTGGATATTTCAACTGCCGATGAAGGCTCCATCTATGGTAGAAAATCTGAATATAGGGTGAATACCCGCAACATCGGCGGTTGGACGGGATACATTCAAGAATACCAGAAGACCGGGACACTTAACCAGAGAGAACATGCCACATTCTTAAATATGTGGTTAGAAAAATTTATTTTCTGTGGTCGATCAGTAGGACCAACCAACGCCTTCCTTCCCGCAGCTGAACTTTTGGCTAATGGTGTAAGGTTTCCTCTTGGCCGATACCTTCTGAGCTCCACTTATCATCTTCTTCATCAAGTGTCTCAGAAACTTTTGCTTGGCGAACCCATCGGCAACCTAGGAGGCCCGTGGTGGTTTATCAACATGTGGTTGAATGCCCATATGCACAAACGGTTGCAATGGGACTTTTTTGCCCAACAATTCCCACGAGAAATTGCTGAAGACCATGTGCTCGGGGACGATGAATCGGCATCACGCTCACCCCTCAATTTTGGTGAAGCCATAATTGTCCTTCCTGGAATAGAGGCCAATGAAGACCAGATCGGCAGATTCTTCTAAAGCTTCTACAATGGTCTTTCTCGTGATCATAGGACCTGGGTACCTTATATTGACGAGGAAAATAGATTCCCCCTTCTTTTCAACTTTGCTGATGACACCCTGAATCAGGATAAGGAACTCATGATGGCCATCATTACTCCCAGGGCAATTCCAGTAAATACATTTGGTAGCGGGAAAAACACCAACATTACGTATGAATTCTACAATCCATCGGCAGTATCCCGTCAATTGGCTTTTGGGCAACTGCCAATCAAACTTTGCTTTGCCGATGTGATCAAACCCAGGGAAACAATCACCTGTGGAACAGATTGGAACAAGGTAGTACAACTCTCCCCCGATGCCGATACTACAGATGTTGATATATCCACCTGGACGCCAGTATCCTTCATCACCGAGTCATATAAGCAATGGTGGCGAGAGTGGAAGGAACAACTGTTT